TAACTTTGGAGGATGAGTATTGATGCTGGTTCTGCTAAGATACAATGATATAGTGACAAGTGGAAATCTTTTACTATACCTGCCGTTACAGAAGAAAAATGGCCACTCCTTCACAAAATGTACTATCTCAGTTTTCTTTCATCAGAAAAGACATTTGATAAGCTTATGTCTGCCTTTACTACATCTTACTGAACAAAGTAAGATATTTACTCTATGTGTAAAAAATAATTTAAACATTCAAAACATACAGATGAATCACATTACCCTTGCCTTATCCTAGAAGGCTGGTTTGTAAAAAGTTTTAGTTTAAAAATTAATCCTAATTCTACTAATTGGGTAAGGCTCACAAAAATTAATAGATAGATAATGATGGATAGATAGATGATAGATAGATAGATAGATAGATAGATAGATAGATAGATAGATAGATAGATGGATATAGATATATATATATACTATGCTCCTTTATTGATAGAGTTTTAAATTTCCCAATGAAGATTTTCTTTCTTCAGTGAATTACTATATGTCAAATTCTGCTCCCTTGCTCAGGTCACCTAAAATTAGATTTGAGGGACTGGAAATATTTTCTGAGTAGGCATTCCCAAAAATGGAAGTGATATTCTCTCTAGGACTAAGGTATTGTTAAAATTTTGAATTCTTTCTAGTATTTTGAAATTTCTCATATGCTGCCTTTTCCTTTCCTAGATTCCCCCCGTGTCCACATGATTTAGCAATTAAAGAAGTAATTCCAGGTATATGAGGGAGCCTCCAACCCTGCTCCTTGATATGTTCAGATTATGATTTCTGATTTTCAAATGTTCTGAATGCCTAAATGTCTCCATGGGGTGATCATTTATGCAATATTGGCACGTTCTCAGGAATTCCTGCAAGCTCCATTATAACACGGTTCCTCATATCACACAAGTAAAGGGTTAAAAGCAGTGAACAGATTGCATCATCTCTCCATTTACAGGATAGACTAAAGGAGCCCCATGAGAAAGTACAAGTCTTTACTTCACAAACAATATTTGGGAATTAAGAATGGATAGTTCCTCAAAGCAATAAATACTTTTATTGTCTGGCTTCTGGGAGATTTTAGTTGAAACAGTCATTACTATTTCTCAACCCACCTCTATTTCCATTTTCCAGAAAGAACAACAAAATACTGGTTTGAGCTGAGTTTTCCAACTGAAGAGTCCTAGCACTGGTCAAAGGGGTTTAAGAAATTGATTTTCTAATTTTGAGGTTAATTCCTAAGACCTGGGCCAGCCTCTACAACTAATTTCTGCTATTTATTCAGTGTAACCCACAAATATCATCATTGCCTTATGTGCTTTAATATGAAGAAGTGGGGAGGACTCCTTAAGGTACAATTCATGAAACCATGGCCCAGCTATCTTATTGGTTTATCCAGTGATGATGAAAACCAAGATGAAAGAATATTAAAGATGGCCCTGAGTAGTTTGGCTCAGTTGGTTGGGTGTCGTCCCATGCACCAAAAAGTTACCAGTTTGATTCCTGGTCAGGGCACATGCTGGAGTTGCAGGCTCGATCCCAGTAGGGGGTGTATAGGAGGCATCCCCTTGATTTTTTTTCTCTCTTTCTCCCTCTCCCCTCGGTCTCTCTAAAATTAATTTTTAAAAATCTTTAAAAAATACCAAAGATGGAGGAGACTATAGTGGTTAGTCCATAAAGAAACCAATTAGCCCTAACCGGTTTGACTCAGTGGATAGAGAGTGTCGGCCTGTGGACTGAAGGGTCCCGGGTTCGATTCCGGTCAAGGGCATGTACCTTGGCTGCGGCACATCCCCAGTAGGAGGTGTGCAAGAGGCAGCTGATCGATGTTTCTCTCTCATCTATGTTTCTAACTCTCTATCCCTCTCCCTTCCTCTCTGTAAAAAATCAATAAAATATATTTTTTTTAAAAAACCCAATTAACTGTTTTATTCTTTCAAACAAATTTCTCTTATTTCCCAAATTCTTAGCCCTGGAACAATTTAATAGACCTATAGTGCCCCTGAGAAATCCCAATATTTTTTCCTGTTTTCTCAAAAAATGTAAGTAGATGAGCCTTTCTTCTGAAGACCAGATGTGTATTTCATTCCTTCTGTCATACTCATCACTTACCTGACAGTCTTAACGAAAAATCACACTTTTATTGGTGCCAACATATGTACCACTTTTTTTTTTAAGTACTATTGAGCCACTTTTGGTCTCTAACCATAAAATCTCTAAAATTTCTCAGGTTTATGAAGTATTCTTTGTGTGGGTTATCTTGTTTTGTTTTCAAAGATCTCAATATATCTGGCCTAAATACTACTTGACATTTATGCAAAGATGAATGTTTTTAAAGTTTTAGGAATCAGCCAGTAAATTTTAAGAAGTATTTTGTGCTGGTCATAGAAGTTTATACCTTGTCAAAACTAATTCATGCTGTTTAATTTTATTTTTAAAATGGATTTTTGTTGCCCAACCTGCATGGCTCAGTGGTTGAGTGTCAACTTATTAACCAGGAAATTATGGTTTGATTCCCGGTCAGGGCACAAGTCCAGGTTGATTCTCAGTATGGGGTGTGCAGCAGACAGCCGATCAATGATTCTCTCTTATCGTTGATGTTTCCATCTCTCTCTCCCTCTCCATTCCTCTCTGAAATCAATAAAAATATATTTAAAAATAAATAAATAAAATGGATTTATGTTAATCTTATAAATACAAGTTTCAATAGCTCAAAATCCTCAGTGAAAATAGTGTCACATTTTGCCCTGGCTAGTGTGGATCAGAGGTTAGAACATTGTCCAAAGAGTGGTAGGTTCAATTCCCAGTCAGGGCACATACCCAGATTGTGGGTTTGATCCTCTGGTCTGGTCAGGGCATGCTCATGATGTTTCTCTTTCACATTGATGTTTCTCTTTCTTTCTCTCCCTCTCCCTCCCTCCCTCTCCCTCCCTCTCTCTCTAAAATCTATAAATACATATCCTCAGGTGAGGATTAAAATACAAAGAAAAGAGTTTCACTTTTCTTCTTATAAATTTGATTTAATTTGTGTTTTTTGTAATTAGTCGTATATGGAAACAAATGATTATATTTTAAGATATTGATACTCAAGTTATAGAGACATGTTACAGTAAAACGAGTTGTGCATGTGTGGAAGCAGGTGTTGGACAAAACTAACAGCCTTTTACGGCAACAATTGTATAAATACACATGAAACAATAGAGAGGTGTCTGTTAGTGGCAACGCTTCAGCTAGTGAAGCTCCATCATAAAAATTGTTTACATCCTCAAACACAAAACGTTGAAAACTTTCTTACCATCAAACACAATCACGTGTACCTGTAATGCATATTTGATAAGGCATTTCAAAAAAAGACATCTTACTTTTCGCAATTCCAGCTTATATTATTTTTTCTTGTGTAGTACTTTTGTATTCCTCTTTTCTTCATTTTCTAATTCTTCTGCAATTCTCATAACTTTGCATATCCTAGATAGTATGTTAGATAGGTCTTTTTATTACTTCTGAGCTGTGTTTTTTTTTTCCTTTTGGGGCTTGCAACAGAAAAAAAAAACACAGTTATGAGATACAAGTGTTTACAAAAGACAACTCATCTTCTTGGAACATTCTTAATTTAACTATGATAATAGCAAACGCTTAGTGATTGCCAGGAAAAATACTGAGAGCTTTTGATGTAATCCTTCCAACACCCTGCTGAAGCACAGAGAGGATATATATGTTGCTCAAGTTACTCAGTTTGCAAATGATGGGACCAGGAATTGGACTCAGGAATCTGGCTCCAGTCTGTTAATCACTCCAGGATACTGCATTTATTTACATGATTAACACATATTGAATCTGAATTCCTACTCTGAGCCTGCATCTCACAGTGCTCAGTGCTTTGCTATCAATAACTTTTGACATTCATAACAACCCCACAAAGTAGACTCAGTTGATAGTTCCATTTACATATGAGAAACCTAATGCTTAGTTGATTAAATTAATGGCCCATGGGTATTGCTACAACTGTATGCGGTTAAAGCTTAAATGTGTCTGACTATAGAGTGAGCTGTTGCCATAATCAGTGTCAGATTAATGCATAATTGTAGTCATTTTGGTATGACTGCCCTTTGGATTTGAGAGAGCTGAGCAAGATTAAGGACCATTATGGGGAATTTAAGGAGTGCCTACAGAAGAAGTATAGATAGGACTTGGGAATTAGACACAACAATATACCTAAGACTTGGATGTTTGATGAAGATTTGGAATTGGTGAACTTCGAGGAAAGACTCTGTGTTCTGACTTTAGTTTGTCTTTAAAAGCACAAAGGGTGATTATATAAAACACAGTTACCAACAGCAGGTGAACTCAGGAGTATGTCCTGTCCATCATTGCCTCCTCATTCTTCAGCAAATTCTATTGCATTATAGTTGCTCAGTGATTTATTTAAACAAAATAATCCATATGTAAATATGTATATAACTAGCTAGTCTTCATATTCCAGATTAAAAATAAAATCACATTTAGGTTGCCACAAATTCATTTAAATTCCACAAATATGTTTTTGTTCATGTTACTTGATATAATTTTAACAAGAACCCTGTCAAGAAGTTGTCCTTATGTGTATTTCACAGTTTAGGGAATTGAGATTTACAGAATTTAAGTGCCTTTTCCGCCTGTCTAAGGATAAGAGAACAATGACTCAAAGCAACCCACAGGTTTCAATTCACGCTACTTTGAGGGTTGAAAGAATATTTGTGTTCTTAACACATTCTTTGAAAACAAAACTCAAATCTGTATTTCCTCTGCAGCTTTTTAAAATTAGGTTTTTAAGCACTTAGGCTAATTTCAATGCCTGTCAGGTTTAGAGCTGTTCTCCAGTACAATTTCTATAGTTTTGTTTTGTAAGTTAATTCTAGTAATTTTTCTGTTCTTAACAATTTTAGTGTTTTTTTTTAAAAAAGCAAAGCTAATCAACATCAATCTGACCCTTTTTATACTGTTTTCAGGTCCTGAAGAGGTAGAAATCAAGTGTCCCCTGAATCACATCGCTTGCCCTGGTGCCCGCAAATGTGTTCACTTGTCCCAGCTGTGCGACGGCGTCTTGGACTGCTCAGATGGGTACGATGAAGGAGCGCAGTGCCGGGGTGAGTCCTTGTGCAATTGCAATACTAAATTTTTCATAGTTTTAATGAAAGTTCAAAGAAAACCTGCCTTTTTTTCAACCATAACCATATCAGTTATTGAGAAAACATAAATGTCATTGCCAGACACACTCAATATGCATTTCAAAGCTGTATATATTGTGTTTTACTGAAAAGTGCCGTTAGGGGCAAAACCACACTTAGACTTTGAAGTCGGGCTCTTAAATGATTATGTATTTCATGGAAAAGTATACTTTTGAGCAAAGGGCAGATAGGGAGTCTCTGTCACAGTACAATGATACGGTAGCGTGGTGCATGCTTCTTTCTCTGAACCTTTGCTTAAACAAAGAGTATTTGAAGCAAATCCTCCGCAACAAATATATCACTAGCATGTGTTCATGGGATATTTTCCCTGAATATTATTTCTCTGAAGTTATACCAACTTTCTTGTAATTTAAAAAAAAATAAACATCTAAATTCTACAGCAGTAAAAGGTTTGTTGATACTAGTATATTAATGATAGGAGGGAGAAGTAATAAAAAATCTCAAAGTTAATGAAAAGTAATGAAAATTGCAAATGGCACATTCTAGTAACATTGGTTAGGGAGAGGGCATGAAATGTGAGAGGAGGAAAAGCAAAAAGTCCAGGATTAAAGATCTGGAAACAGAATCAAGGTATTCATCAAGGGAATCAGGCCGCTAGAGGGAGCCAGGAAAGAAATCACTGAAACACAAGTCTCAACAGTTTCTCACTGGCTGAGGGTAACACAAAGGTTATTTATTGAAGCCGATGTCAAAGCGAAACCTATCTTTCATGCTGAGGAGAGTCCGATGGTAAGGAAAAGAAGGAACTGTAGAAAACTCGAGATGCACGCCTGGCTGTGGACAGATTCACAAAAGCTAGTAATTGCTGCCATGTGAAAAAAGGTCGTAGGTCACCAAAAGTTCCAATTTTTCAGCAGGACCTCCATTTCTGCCTGTGTTTAAAGTGTTCAAAGTCAGCTACTGCTTTTTAAAACATTGTACAGTCCACAGTGTACAGGCCTGACAGGTCTTACTGGCTATCAGTCCCCCAACTCCGGACTGAAGGAAACTGAATTCAAGATCAGGGAGGGAGAGCTGCATCGGTAAAAGAGTAAATATTGGGAAGGTATCCAATGTGCTGAGGATGCTGAGGGACCACAGATCCACTGGGGCACTCAGTCTTTTCTTTCTTCCCAAAGGGACATCCAATTACTCTGTTCTGTGGACAGATTCATACTGAGAAGTTAAAGGCCTTTCTTCTTGGACCGAGTTGCCTTTCCTAGCCTTGTACTCTGACCTAGTCCCATAAGGAGCCAGCAGATTCCTAGTTTCAGTTATGAACACATATGTAATAATAATTAATAAGATATTTTATTTTTATTTAAAGGCTTTGTGACATGTATTCTTTTTTATAATTGTATATTAATGAGAATTATATTAACGGAAAGTAAAGTACTGAATTACAAAGTAATAGGTGTAAAAGAGTTTAATTTTCCTTTCTGAAATTAATTGTATTTTCTAGAGCTTAATTCTATCTACTTCAGTTATAATCCCAGCTTCTTATTATATTTAAAAAAATATTTCAGGCAGACATGTGTGACTAAGTGTCTAACAGTGAAATCATGACATTGCCAAATACTCCCTTGGAGGTGGTTACACAAATTTGAATATCTTAAACATTTTCAGTGCTGTGGATTATATGAAAATATATATGAGTTCTCTAATGAAATTTATGGTTGTGATCTAATCAATCTAATTAGATATATCTAATAAATGACATGTTAATGGTAAACCAGGGAATTCAACAAAAATATAATGCATTTGAACAAAAATTAAATGATATCAAATTTATCTTGATTTTTGAAAAGATCAGCATATACTCCAAACTGAGAAAGAATTAGAGTATATGCTGTAGTTGTTTATATTTCAAACTTTTTTCCTCTTCCAATTTACATTTTGTAATTGTTCCAAGTTTCCTATCTTTATCACAAATGACAGTCTTTTTCTTTTATAATTTACCACTAGGAATCTGACTATATTAGTACTACTCTCGCCTTTAAAGTCAGCTACTTTATTCACCAAATAAAGTATTTTGAAACACCTAAATAATATGTTATAAACCGTGACGGACTTAAAAATAACAAGAATAATGTTAAAAAAAAGAAAGAAAAAAGAAAAGAAATAACATAAAGTATATTTGGATTTCTACATGTATTTACCAAAGGATTTTTCACCTAATTCTTGGGACTGGTACAATTAGAGTGGTAAAATCCAGATTACTGAATAGATATAGTCATTTCAGACTTAGTGGTTTAATAAACTATTTCTGCATTGAGGAAAGAAAATTAGAAATATGTTTGCTTCCTGGCATTGGAGAGTGCTCCTAACACTTGGACAAAAAATTAAAAAAAAATAATTTTGGGCAGCACCAGATTTATCACATGTATATGGTTTGTGTTTAAATGAAGGAAGATGACTGACTATAGGCAAAAGTATATCATAGGAATTGAATCCACTTTCCCACCTGCAATTTTCCTTCTAATTTTGGGTCACTCCTAATGAAAAAATGTTTTGTTTTGTTTTTAAACATAATTAGGCATGAGCCTATCAAGTCTCTGAGGAACTTTCTCATCTGCTATCTATAATAATCTATAATAATAAAAGAATAATGTGCTAATTAGACCAGACAGCCGAACGACCTTCCGGCCATCATTCTGGGTGTCCTTCTGGATGAATCCACGGCAGCAGGGCCCAAGGCAGAGGCAGTTAGGGGCAATCAGGCAGGCAAGCAGAGTAGTTAGGGGTGATCAGGCAGGCATGCAGGCAGACTGATTAGGGGGCAATTAGGCAGGTGAGCGGTTAGGAGCCAGTAGTCCTGAATTGTGAAAGGGTGCAGGCCGATCTGAGTGACCTCTCCCCTCCCCTCCCGTGCATGAATTTCATGCACCGAGCCTCTAGTAGACATCTAATAAAGAAAATAAATAGATTAATTCAAACGTTGCATCAGTCTTTAGAAATGTGTTTCCTTTTCAGAATCGTTCTGTCTGAATCACTTTTCTTCCCATTGCTTCCTTTTTGTTTTGTTCTAAACACACACTCTAAGTTATTATACATGAAGTCTAAGATATGATTCAAAGATTGACATATTTTTCTAATAAAGGATTTACATTTGGTTGTATATCTTTATCCTTTAAGAAAATTAATAAGGAGAAATATTTAACATTTTGGAGGTGATATTCTAGTCTTGGGAATGCTTTCTTAGCAACTGAATTGTTTTCTGAATGTTTCCTAGAAAAATCAATTTCTCCCTGGTGAAAGTAATAAAATATATCTATTATTAATGATTTTCTATAGCACTGATATTTTAATCTCCATAATTTAACTCCACTTGAAGAAAAAAAATTGATTTTTGTATATGGGTATACGTATATATAGGAATGTGCTTATAAAATTTTTACAATAAGAATGTTCAAAATCACCACATTATATTTTAGAAAATTGTATCGCTTCCTACATTGTATTTTATATTGGTTGTAATATCACTATATCTAAATTTCATGAGCAATGAAAACACATTTTATGCAGCACAAAGTTCCTTAACACAGAATAGTTCCACAAAAATTCTTACATCCATACAAAGAATGCTGAACAAATTCAACTAACAGAGACTAGATTGACTGAGATGTATCAAGACGTTATTTTAAAAGTTTACATTCATAAGATAATTCATTATGTCAGCGTGTAAAGTGGCTGTGAGCAAGAGAATCCCTCTTTTTATTCACAACCTTACTTTGATCCATTTGTAGTAGAAAATGGTCCTGCAAGGGAATGCCGGTCTCTGTGGTATTGTCTGCTAAAAAAAATATGGGGACTCTTAGGGTCCCTGCAAAAGGGATTCTATCTCCTGTCTCTAGAAACAATGATTACGCAATCTTATGTGATTAATTTCCAGCAAACATCAAAATCCTTGTGAATATAAACGGATAACATGTGTGAAGAGTTCCCTAAGACTGATCAGGGAATAGCACTCTCTGACATATGAGAAGCTTACTACCCATGTGCACAGATATACACAAGCATACATAGATACTGGTCTTTTATGATTTCTCTCTTTTCTATTCTGAGTCTATTCCTAAGTACTTCTGAGTGTATAATATATCTAACTGGTATATTTGATCAGAAACTTAAAGAAAAATAAGATTCTCAGATATCTCATCCAACTCCAGGAAATAATGCACGGTAAGAATTTTTAAAATTACATTTGATTATTTTACTTTACCTGCCAGTTGGGATATAGTTTTCTGATATGTGAAATTATATTTTTTCTCTATTCACCCACGATCGGTTCTAATGTATTTATTTTAGATTCCAGTCATTGTAGTGTATTTGTTCTAATATATGTATTTTAGATATCAACTTGTTGTTTCTTTTATGTTACTATTCTTAAAACTAAAGCCAAACGAGAAAATGCTGAAAATCCTGGAGATAATTTACAAATTAGAGGCTTTCTCAAAATTGATCAAGATAAATGGCAACCTTTATTATTTGTAGTAACTCACTATAGGAAATTAATAATCCTATTTTTGTTTGTTTAAACCTTATGCATTTCAAATAATTCAAAAATTTAATCCAGCACAATTAATTAGATTTAATTAATTTATTTGAGAAGATTGAGTAAATTCAATGAAAGAGTTAGGGGTTAATTCTTAGCTCAAATATTCAGGACTACATTTTTTTCCCCAGAAAGGAAATACTTTATTTTGTGGTGGCTTTTGTTATTATTAAAACACTGATTTCAGATGGAATAATGTTAATTTATAGCTTCCAGGAAGGAAGAAGAGAAGGGAGGGAGGGAGGGAGGGAGGGAGGGAGGGAGGAAGAAAGTTGGTGAAGCTGGTGAAAAAGACAAATTAATTTGAATCACTTGTTTGTACTTTCACTCTCAATTATATCAATGGGTCTTGCTCTGCTCCCATTTT